ATGAACTTGATCAGTTGTCAGTATACAAAGCAACGACAACATGAACTGATAACAAAGATGAGTGAGTGCTACAAAAATAATGTAAGAGCTCACTCGGATATCATTAAGAAATTCACATCAATTACTGGGACTCTGTTCCTTCTGTTGTTCTTGCACACAGCTGCATGCACAGCCGTGCATTCCCAAGAAAGCCTGCAGAAAGGAAAAACCATGTGAATACTCGTGGAAGTCTGTATCCTCAAGAACATTTGCACCTGAATAGCATGTCCTGCCATCTCTGAATGGCCTGTGAGTAGAGGACCCAGGGACCTACAGGCCAGTCAGCCTCACCTTGATCTCTGGGAAAATGTCGTAGTAGCTCTCAATGTAACTGCTCTCAATGGGATTTAAGGCACCCAATTGTACATGACAAAGTTTCTCTTTGCAGAGCATCTATGTTACCATACCCTGGCATGATTCTTTTGTGGAAGAGTACATTTTCAGCCAATTCTTAACAGGTATTTCTAGCTTTATAGTATCTAATTAGAATTTTAAGCTCTTTGGAATAGTACTACCTGACTTCATCTACCCCCGAAGCACCACAAACAGTTCCAGTATTATAAAGATAACAACTTGACCTGTACTATGTGCCCCGTCGGTTCTATTGATTTGTGGATGCAGAAATAAAGCCTGGTTCAGACTTCGTATCTTGCTCCCACAGTATAATCTCAAAAGGACTCAGAAAACACACAGGATTAGTCAATACAAAGTTTTGCACTCAGAGATAGGGTGTCCAAATTGCAACATTCAAAGACTAAGAAAATACTTGGGTACAAACAATTAGTGGAAATACCTCAGCCATTTCACTGGGAAGCATGATTCATTCTTATTAAAACAAATCTGCTACTAGCAAATTTATTGCTAAATCTTAATTGAAAATTACTTTCTAGTACAACTTTTAGAAACAGGTAATGCATCTCATTTCTCTGGGCAAAGTTGGGACTGGGAAAACATCTGGGTTTATTACCAGATGCTGAAATGACATGCTGAGACACAGGCTGATTCACATTCTATTTCCGTGGCCCATCCTCTTACCTGTGCAATGGAGTTAACTGTACCCTTGCTTCTCTTACGAGCTATCACCACAAAACTTATTTCCGGATGAAAACTGTGCTCTCTTTCCATTTTGAAGAACAGTTGGTAATAATCTTTTATTCACCTTTTCTGCCAAGCTGTTTTCCAGCTGGCCAGCCCCCAGCATGTACTGGTTCCTGTGGTTGTTTCTTCCCAGCTGCAGGACTTTGCACTTCTTCTTGATGAACTTCATGACAGCCCGTTTCTCCAGCCTACTGTTGTCCCTCTGGATGGCAGCACAACCCTCTGGCATATCAGCCACTCCTCCCAGCTTTGTGTCATCTGCGAACTTGCTGAGGGCGCACTGCCCCATCATCCAGATCGTTAGTGAAGATGTTCAACAGGACCAGACCCAGTATTGACCCCTGGGGTACAGCACTAGTTATTGGCCTTCAACTAAACTTTGTCCCACTGACCCCCACCCTCTGGGCGCAGCCATTCAGCCCGTTTTCAGTCCACCTCACTGTCTGCTCATCCAGCCCATACATCAACAGCTTGTCTATAAGGATCTTATGGGAAACAGGTCTTAATGAAGTAGAGGTAGACAATATCCACTGCTCTCCCCTCATCTACCAGGCCAGTCATTTCATCATAGAAGTTTATCATGTTGGTCAAGCATGACTTCCCCTTGATGAAGTCACACTGATTAGTCCCGATCATTTCCTTGTCCTTAATGTGCCTGGAGACGTTTTCCAGGATTAGCTGCTACAACATTTTCCCAGAGATCAAGGTGAGGCTGACTGGCCTGTAGGTCCCTGGGTCCTCCTTCTTACCCTTCTTGAAAACAGGAGTGACATTTGCTTTCCTCCAGTCTTCAAGCACTTCTCCCAATCACCACGATTGATCAGAGGTTATCGAGAATGGCCTCACAACAACATCAGCCAGCTCCCTCAGCATCCATGGGTGCCCATGGACTTATGGGCATTGTTTGCTTAAGTATTCCCTGACCTCATCTTCTTTGACCAAGGGTACATCTTCCTTGCTCTAACCTTTCCCCCTGGTCTCTAGGAGTCCCGAAGGCTCATTTTGCTACTGAAGACTGAGGCAAAGAAGGAATTCAGTACCTCAGCCTTTCCCACGGCCTGTGTCACTGGGTCTCCCACCTCATTGATCAATGGGTGCACATTTTCCCTAGCCTTCCTTTTGTCTTCTGTGTACTCGTAGAAGTCCTTCTTATAGTCTTTGACATCCCTAGTCAGATTCAATTCCATTTGGACTTTAACTTTATGAACTTTGTCCCTGAACGCTCAGGCAACGTGTCTGTATTCCTTCCAGGTTATCCATCTTTGCTTCTGCCCTCTGTATACTTCCTTTTTGTGTTTGACTAGGAGCATTTTTGCTCGCCCACGCAGGCCTCCTGACATTTTTGCCTGATTTATTCATTGGAATGGAACTTTCTTGAGCTCAGAGGAGGTGATCTTTGAATATTAACCAGCTTCCTTGGGTCACTCTTCCTTCCAGGGCCTTATCCTCTAGAACTCTTGCAAGCAGATCTTTGAAGTCTGCTCTCCTGAAATCCAGGGTTGCGAGCTTGCTTTTCAACCTCTTCCCTGCTCTCAGGATCCTGAACTCCACCATCTCATAGTCATTGCAGCCATGGCTGTCTTTGACCTTCACATCACCAACAAGGCCCTCCTTGTTGGTCAGTATGAGGTCCAGCAGAACACATCTCCCTACTGGCTCCTCTATCACTTAGAGGATGAAGTTATCATCAAATCACTCCAGGAACCTCCTGGATTGCTTTTGTCCTGCTGTCTTATCCCTCCATCAGATACTGGGGATGTTGAAGTCCCTCATGAGGACTTGAGGCCACTCCTACCTGTCTACAGAGGACTTAGCCACTTGTTCTTCCTGGTCAGGTGGCCTACAGCAGCCATCCACTAGAATGTCACCTTTACCTGTCCTCTCCTTAATCCTAACCCATAAACTGATCTCAGTTGGCTCCTCATCTATCCCCAGGCAGAGCTCCATGCACTCCAGCTGCTCTCTCACATAAAGGGCAACTTCCCCTCCTCATTTTCCCATTCTGTCCTTCCTAAAAACCCTGTATCCCTCTTTTGCAGCACTCCAGTCACGGAGCCATCCCACCACATCTCCATGATGTCACTGCAGCCCTGCAACTGCACACAGATCTCTAATTCACTATGTCTGTTCCCCACTCTGAGTGTGTCAGCATACAGACGCTTCAGCGGCACACCAGTATTTGACTTCCTAGAAAGGGTTTGGAGATTTCTCCGTAATTGTGCCTTGTAGGCACTTCCTTGCTTACATGCAAGCACTGGAGGTGGCTCTGCTTAAAACTCAGTTTGTTGATTTTTTGATCCCTTCCCGTCACACCACCCATGCCCTTTGCTCAGCAAACCTGTCCGTCACTCCCTCACTCTCTCCCTCCTCCATCATTCTTAGTTTAAAGCTCTCCTAATAAGGTCAGCCATCCTACCGGTGAAAATAGCTTTGCCTCGCGTAGTGAGGTGGATGCCACCTCTCCCAACCAGATGCTGATCCGCAAACAGGGTTCCACAGTCACAGAACCTAAAACCCTGTTGCCAACACCAGTTCTGCAGCTAATTACTGACTTGTCCTCTTCACTCCCTTTACCCTTACCTGCAGGACTGAGATCACCATCTGGGCCCCCATGCCCGTGACTACCACCCCCAGAGCTCTGTAGTGAATTTTGATATCCAGAAACAACATGTGATGAACTGACTGCAACCCCCATTCCTTGTCCCCCTGTGCCGCTGGTGGGGTGAGGTAGAAAATTTGGGAGTAAAGTTAAGCCCAGGAAGAAGGGAGGGGTGGAGGGAAGGTGTATTTTAAGATTTGGGTTTATTTCTCATTACCCTACTCTGAGTTGACTGGTATAAATGAAATTAATTTTCCCCAAGTCAAGTCTGTTTTGCCTGTGACGGTGATTGCTGAATGATCTCTCCCTGTCCTTATTTCCATGCACGAGTCTTTCATCACATTTTCTCTCCCCTGTCCAGCTGAGGAAGGGAGTGACAGAGCAGCTTTGGTGGGCACCTGGCATCCAGCCAGGGTCAACCCACCACAGAAGCCTCTGCCCTAGCAGAGACAGCTGCTCCCACATCTGCTGGGGAAACTGCTCGAAACATCTGCTGGGGAAACTGAAATGAAACATATGAATGTTTCATTTAACTTAGATTGTGGATCTGACCACAGCAAAGCAGAGCAGATTTCAAGGGGAGACGATGAAACTGCGCTCTGATCTCCCGAGCTTTATATCGTAATGCTGACAAGGGCATCATTCCTTTCAGGCTGAAAAGTTCTACCCAACACTGTCATGTGATAGTAAGGCCAAAAGGAAGGAAAACACAGGCTGCGCAGAATGAAAAGACAGAGGCAGAAAATCGTAAGGTGAAAGGCTTTGAGAAAGCTGTTTGTATTTGAAAACTTCAGAATCAGATAATTTCTAAAAATATTTAAATAAAATCATTCATTTATGCAAATGAATAACCCAGGAAGAGCCAAAACAAAAAAAAAAATCCAGTATGAAGATTTTCTTTACAATAAAGATTCTTCTAGGAATTATATTAAATATGACAAGAGGGGAAAAAAGCATCTCACAATTTATATTCGAGGGCATCACATTTTAGAACAATGTCTTAGCCATTAATCATTTATAAACGATTCACAAAGAAATTAAATATGCTATTCCATAAAGAATAATCTAATTTACAGTTTAGATGTAAGGCTTCACCATAACATCTCACACCCTTCACCTGGCTCTTTGCATACCCAGTTGAGTGATCTGTACTTACTCTCCTACCAGAGTAACACAGCACGGTGGTCCTCAAAAACACAGGTAGTGTTTAGGTTTCCTTTTTAAGGTTCAACAAAAAGTATTACTAGAAAGTGTCCTATCGGTTGTCACAATAACAGCAAATGAAAAGCGAGGAGAAGTAGATAAGTTATATTTGCCAGTCTAAGACTGAGGGAATGGATTAAATTACACCTTCCAAAAAAAAGTATCTAGCTGCTAGTTAAGCCATCGTGTTGGCAGTCATCGTGCACAACTGGGACACCACAACTCCAAGTCACAGACTAGAAACACAGTGCTTCCTTTAAACAAAGTACATAACTCCTGTGTGAAAAAAGTTGGGGAAAAACTCACCAGAGCTATCTATCTCCATAGCTATCATATGCATAAGAACTATTTGCTTTATAAAGCTCCAGTTTATTCAAAATACTGAATGTAATACTGATGACAATATCATCCCTTAGTCTCCTTATGCATCAAGTACAAATCAGAGAAAAACCCTGCCCCAAAACACTCATTTTCAACCACAAAACGTTGCCAGAAATCTCATATTTGCAAGTTACCTGGTGTTGCAGTTAACATATTAATTCTGCAGACAAATCACAAGTACTTACTAAAAATACAGATATGTTTCCTAAAAGTAAAGTGAAGCTTTATTTAAGATGACAAAGCTTTTGTAACAGTGCAGGGTGCAATTTTTCGGTATGAAGACATTCAGAAGATTTGCTGCTCAAAGAGGATCTTTTCAAACCCTGGTGGAGGTGTATGATAAAATTCACTGAACTGACAATCCAGAATGGCACTGTCATCAACTGCAGAAGAGAACCAAACAGAAGGAATTAGAGAAGGAACACACAGTTTGATCCTCTATGACACCACCTTTCTAGATTATATACTATGCTCAAACCATGAAGACTATTCTCCTATACATCCACTACATACATACAATACAATTAAAAGAAATTCTTCAACAAATTCGCTAAACCCTACACAGATACCCAAGGACAGCAAATCATCTCTCTTTTCTGCTGTTTACTTTAGTCGGTAACGGTCCTTGGTGAAGTCAATGAGAACACTACCTCTGATTTCACTGGGAGTGTTAGCAAGGCTTCAGGCAATTCCCTCCCAATTTTCTACTCTATTTCTCCAGAAATCTACAGATTAAGGACACTGCCAGATACATATTGCAGGGCTGTCACCTCCTGAGATGCGTATTTTTCTGCCCACTTCCTAATGCTGCTGGAGCATCAGCTGCCTGCAACGATTTTTCTGGAGGTTTACAATGTTTCAGATGTCTGCGATGGTTGGTGTCAGACGGTCTGTTTTAGCATGAGATCCAAAGAGAGTTTCTTTGACTGCTTCTTTAAGCTGGAAGTTAACGGCTTCGTACAAGTTTTGAACCCCCTGCATAACCTGTGACACAAGCGTTACTACCTTCAATGCAGAATAAAAAAACCAAACTGCTGAGGATTTTCAGAGAAAAGCTTTCATGTATTGCATTAGCAAACTGAAATACCCAACCAGTCAGAAAAGCAAGATCTGTTTCAAAGACAATTTCGTCATCCAAGATGAAGCTGGTACACTAGCAACGTTAGATGAAAACAGAAAAGCTTCATCTCCATATTTTGGGCTGGAACTTAGATATCTCAAAGCCAAAGGTAGGAATTTTTCCCTCCCAGGCTCAGTTAAACCTCCTATTAACATATCAGTACAGTTCTGCAGCATTTATGCAGCGTTTGCATCTCACTTCTACAAAAGTGCCTGAGGTACAGCTGCTGTAGGGAACAACCTTTAAGTCCATTTTTCTGTTTTACATTCTCAAGCTTGACACCATGTTTGCCTGCTCTATCATGTTTCTTTTAAAAAGATATCCATAGTTCTAGTCTGATTTGTGGAAAGAGTAAATGCTTAAGAAACTCTCTCTCCTATGGTCAAATCCTTTCATATGTCTAGAAGAAGTTCACATGTTCACATTAAATTAAGGACATTTACAGTTAAAGTTTATACCATGTAAGTACCACGCAAAAGCAATTTGCGGGCTGCAATTGTTATAGCAGTATGTAGGAGATGATAATTACAATGAAATTATGCCCACTTGTGGAAGATGATTATAAGAGCCTAGCAATAAAAGGTCACTGCATTCCCCAGCCACGGAACTTCTTTAGACAGAGAAAAAGATTATTTACAGTAGGCTAACGTGCCACCAAACGTTTTCTGAAAGCAACCTGCATCCTTCATGCTATGCAATACCATTTCAAATTATACGGAAGATGCAACCATCAACTATCACACAGCAATTCTTTCCCCGCTGCTCACGAAGCCATTTGCACAAGGAGATCCCGCAGCGCTGCAGGGCAGCTACCGTCGGCCACAGCATTTTAGCAGCGCCATCACGTGGCTTAAGAACAGATCACAAAATGACCGTATAAAACAATTTCCACTCTAATACCTTGGAATGACATAATTTGTCAGGTACATTTATAGACTTCAAAGGCTCTATGACGCACCTAGAGTATTTCCTTACCGTTCATAAAATTCAGTATTACAAATGTATCAAGATATAAATGGGAAGATGCCAACAGTTCATTAGGAACCAACCATGAAAGCAAAAAATTACCCACATGGCATAGCTAATGGTTATCTCAAGAGCAAAATTATTTTGGAAGAGGTTACTACTTAGATGAAGCTCACACAGGAATAACAATAAGGTGGAGATGGCTGTAGGTGTAACACAGGGAATCCGACGAGCAGTTGCCATTTGCTGTAAGTTACAAGCCAACCCAGAGCGTAGCGTTGATGATGCACTGAGCTAAGGGAAGTGCTGCCTTTCAGATGAGATGTTAAACAGAATTCTGACTACTTGGGAACTACAAAACCACCACCAAGTTCGGGAAGAATAAATTGTTAACACATGTCTTGGCCAAATTCCAGCTTCTATAATTCACAAATTCTTTCTTAAACTGCCTATGCAGGGATTAATTGGATACAGTATTTGTTTCTTGATCAAAACTGCTGCGTTGTATCAATGGTTGCTGGCAAAACAGCTACCACAATTTGCTCACCAATAGTTGGATTTCAAAACTGGGCATCAATTTGGTAGAGCAGCAAAGAGCTGTACCACCATACAGCGAGCAGCTGCACTAGCACTACATTAAAGTTATTACTTCCACAAGAAAATACAAACAGCAATTCCGTATCTGGATTTAACACTGAATGCATTTCTCAAGTATGTGAAACTAATAGGCATAAAGACCAAGGTTCAGAGATAAATCAGATGAGCCCCCAAGCCTACATTAGTTTGAATTTGTTGCTTTTCTTTTTTTCACCTGCTTCACAGCTTTTTTACCTGGCAATTTTTAGACTGGTTGCAGTAACTCCCCAGCTTGTTGGATGTGGACACTGTAAGCAGTCAGTGAGCAGTGCTTTTTTCTCTAGCTATTAAGCAGCATTAAAAATGAGGTGAAAAAATATCTTTTTGTGTTTTCCTAGGTTTGTGTTTTCGTGCAATTTATTCTTGTAGTTGCCAAAAATAAATGACTGACGGGTGTTCCAGCTAAGTGAGAAGAATACACAGCTTAGAAGACAGACTGGGTACAAAAATATTGTCCGTACTGTGAAACAGTTTGAAAATCTCTGACTTACCATAGACCACTGGATAGACAGTCCCTCGGATTCCTGAAGCTGGACAATGCATGTTCTTCCCATTTAAATATACATTTAATTCTACGTGGTCATATGTAATGCCCTACAAAGTACAGAAAATTAACAAAAATGCATCAACAACTTTATACACGTAACATTGCTACTTAATTTAGCTTTCTTAGCCACAGACAGATTTAAACACCATTATACAAACCACAGCATCCTAGAAAACCTCACTTGAAATATTCATGCAAAGGACTAGACGTTAATAAATGACCAGTAACATTTGTATTTTCAAATACTCAGGATTCCTTAACGCTCATTCAATCTGGATGCAGCGCAGTACTGCACACCGCATCTTACTAAATTTACAAAACAAATTCCCAAACTATTCTTCACCGTGCTAAAGGAATACAAAATTTTCAATTATTTTTACTATTAATCAGTTAGCAGTCGTCTTGTTTATATCTCCTTAGGGAAATAACTTTAACCAATAGTGATGCTATGAACTGAGTTTATCTGTCCATACTTCCATACGGAACCTCTCTCAGCTCATTTACCCTGCGTGCAGCAACAGACCACGGTTTCATACACATAGCTATAAACATGCCGACTACAGAGCAGAAAGCAAACACTAACAAGGTATGAAATTACTTATTTGTTAGCTAAATGATTTTTCTCACTGTTTTGGTATGGATGAGTGTGACAATTTGTGTTGTCATTCAGTACCTCAGAAATCTATTTTTGTGACAGAACAAAATAAATCTAAATTGATGGAAACTAAGGAGTTACCAGTAACTCATCAGCTACTTTTCTGTGATTAGCTGAAGCTGTTCAGACTACATAGGTTGACCAAACCCTGAAACAGTCTGCAACCCTCCAAAAAAAAAAACAATTTCAGAAGAGGATTAAAAGAATAATACAGTATCCAAGGGTAAAGGATGGAAGTGTCAACTGTAGCTGTTTGGGGCTTCTAAAGACGAAATTTCTAACCGTTGCTATATAGAGGCAAGGTTACCCAGCAAGAAAAACTAGTGATAAATGGTCTAAATTTCATTGCATTGCTCACATGTATTTTTGAAAATAAATCTCTAACAGGAAATGGAGAAAATGACAGCAATAAAACACAACCCTTTGAACAAAGTCACTTACGGATGTTTTGAGAAACCTGTAATAGTAAGGTACAAAAAAAATCTTCAGCTTCTCCATTTGCTCTCATTCTCAATCATCTCCCCAGTGAGCTTACCCCCTCCCCACTTAATATCTCTCCTTCCCTACAAACGTTTGGCTAGAAACACAATTCATTTATCACCAGGGCCTATCTCTGCTCAGCTCTGTCCTTCTATGTCATTAATCAGTTGGGATCTTCAGCTCAGCTGGGCACGGTGCATAGCTACGTAATGCACTGCAGCACATTATTTGTTCAGGAAGGTCCCATCTCAAACTACGCAGGATCCTTGTGATGGGAGCTATCCGTCAGGTACATACTGCAGCCAGACTGCAGCAGAGCGTTAGCAGCTACTTCTCAAACATGGGTAAAGTCATTCTCTCATTCAGGAACATATTAATGCTGAGAACGAAGCCCACTGATATCATCCAGGCTGCTGATCCGTTCAAACCGAACGGGAGTTTGTATCAGCACTTTCCAAACTGGGAGATGCAAGCCAAACAATTTGCCTGAGGCCACAATTTGTCTGACTACAGAGCTATAAATAAGAGGAATCTGGGAACAGCTGGGGAAGTAAAGAAGCCTTAAGAAACTCACCACCACATCACCCTCCTGAGGAAGGCTGTTTGCTGGTAGTCTGTTTTTCTCCTCATTGTTATAGTAGAGAGCTCCATCGTTTCTCATCACCAGGCTATGGACATCTCGACCAAGTGGAATTTGATTCAAGTTTGCTTTCTGGGTTGCAACTCCAATACCCCAAATCCCTAAAATGTGACATTAACATCGTAAGAAGAAAAACCCCAACATTATTTTAAGGACTATCTGACTGAAGCAGGACAGCACAAAGAATGTGTTTAACTAGTGCCATGGGAGTCCTACCAGTAAATATCTCTTGGAAATACCAGGACTACTGTGGGTTATCCCTGGTTGGCAGCTAAGCACCACCCAGCTGCCCACTCACTTCCCTCCCCCCACAGGCCTCAGTGGGATGGAGGAAGAGGAAAGAAGAGTAAAACCAAGAAAACTTGTAGCTAAAGACAAAAATTGTTTAATAAGCAAAGGAGAAGCAGAAGAAAGCAAACAAAACAAAGTAATGCAATGGCAATCACTCACCACCCGCCATGGGTAGACCAATGCCCAGTCAATTCCCAAGCAAAAGATGGCTAACCTCCCTAAATCCCCTCCTCTGCCTTTTGCTGCCAAGCATGACATTATGTGGCATGGAATATCTCTTTGGTTAGTTCGGGTCACCCCCCTGGTTGTGTCCCCTCCCGACCTCTTGCACACCCCCAATCTTATTCACTGGAGGGGCAGAATACGAAACAGAGGCAGCCTTGATGCTGCGCAAACTCTGCTCAGCAACAGCTAAAACATTGGAGTGTTATCAGTACTGTTTTGGTCACAAATCACAGCACCATAGGAGCTGCTATGAAGAAAATTAACTCCATCCTGGCCAGACCCAGTACAAGCAGTCACAAGAGACTGAAGATAAACTGCATCTATGCTGAAAAAAGAAGGATTCAGAGAATTGTAACGACTTAGCTTAACTTTTATTCCCAGAAAGACATTGAAAACAAACCCTGAGACTGTAGGAGGATGTAAAAAATAAATCCAACTAGCATGGACTAGGGAACAACACAATTCCCTTTTTCAGCTGGTTAAACCGGTCTTAGGGAAAAAGAAGAAATTGTAAATATGATTGATCTTCATTTGGTCATGTTTTTGAAACTCTTACAACACTGAAATAGTCAAATTACGAAAACACGGTCTAGGCAGCGACAGCAATATGAATGCACAACTGGTTAGAAAACCGTATTCAAGGACTACTCAGCAGCAGCAGCCTGCCAATCAAAAAAGATGACTCAAGTGGGGTTTGAGGTTTCACACTGAAGGCACAAGGTCAGATACTGTTCCATACTCACATCAATGACTTGGATAATATGACAATGTGCTTATTAAGCGTGCTACCAACACCTGATAGGGCTGCAAGCTCTTCAGAGGGCCCTCAAGTTTTAAATCATCCTGACAAATTGGTTAAGAGGTCTGAAATAAGGAAAATGTATTTGCTTTTTCCAAATTACAAAGAACCGCAGCTAAGGAGGAATAGCAAGTGGCATATATACAACAGCGGCTTGGCAACCAGTTCATAGAATATGATTTGGGGGTTATCACAGACCACATGCTGAGCATGAGTCTGTGCCCTACTGTTGTGAAAAACTTCTGGATGTATGGCATGTACAGAGCAGACGTATGTACAGCCGATTAAGGACGTCTACTGTTGCTGCACCTGGAGCAGAGCATCCATTTTAAGCATCATACCTCAAGGCAAATTAGGTCAATTAGAGATATTCTAGAAGAAACCACAAAATCAACCAAAACTGTAAAAACTTCATCTATAAGGAGACAAAAAAAACCAAAAAACAAAAAGACAAACAATCCAACCCAAACCAACAAACCCACCTGGGACTGTTTAATCTACAGAAGACTAAAATAAGGCAAAAATCTACAAAAATTAGCTTCAAAAGACAAAATTGCTGAACAATTTATTCTAATACTTACATGCCCAGAATGAAAAGGACAAAAGTATGAACAAGATTCAGATTAGACTTCAGAAAACTTTCCAATAGTCAGGGTGACCCCACAGATGACCCCTAATAGATTGTGCAGGGATGCTTCTGGGAATTGAAGTTTTAAGTTAAGTCATCTACAGTTCTCCTGCCTTGGGGCACAGGAATAGATGAGACACAGCCCCCAGGGAGCAGGAGAGGTTATTTCCTGCGTTTCTCAAGTATAAGAACATGGATACTGTATCTGTGTGAATAATGACCATATATGAACAACAGCTGCAGTGGATTCTTCCCCTGGCAGAAAGGACGCTAAAATTGCCACGTTAAGACTGATCTGGGGTTTACATGTAGTTTAAAACTAAACAACTGGTTTGACTGCAAGGTGGTTTGGAGACGTTTGGACAGCCTGCACTCCAATCCAACTGAACGCAAACAACCCTGACCCAAAAAGCACCGGGTTCAAGCTTCAGCTGGTATCATAAGGCCTGTCTCCGGACTAACACTTCCCTTCTTCTTCCCTTCCCCTACACACTTACAGCTTCACTTTCACAGTGTCTGTAGGTTTTAAAAATACAGGCTGATTTTTAATGTTAGAATACAGACAAGCCTGGAGTGTGCTCAGCTCAGTAAAGCTGACTATATTAGTATAAGTGTAATGCTTCCAAATTTCATTCGTTTTCAGCTGCCTTGCATTAGATCTGTGTAAAACAAATAAAGAAATAGGGTGCTGAAAGGCTCCTCTTCATCAGGCAGTGTCAGAACAAGTGCTGCACCTTTGATTTGAAGAGCAAAGTGTAGCACAAGGAGTGTTACCCTTTCTTGGGCAAATATAGTGCACATTAAAAGCAAATGAAGGTAGACAAACAGCTACAAACATTGCTGGATAAACTGCACTATTAAAAAAAAACCCACCACTTGATAGCTACGGTGTTTTACATGGTTATAAACATTTACTTACCAAAAACCATTTCTAAAATATGCTAACTGAAAGACATGCATATAACAGCATATAAAACAATGCAGTGTTTTAGTACTTGCACTCCTTCAGTCATATACTTACCACTCTTTTTAATATTTCAGAGCCACAACAAAATAAAAAAGAAATTCCATTTTACACAATGACAACTTAGAGAACTCTCCAATGCTCACAAGTTCAAGGATGCAATTAGAAAGATGCACGTGCTCGGTATTTGAGATACGACCACCAGCAGGCAATCTGACATACCTTTCAAGTTCAAAGTTGTACATTTTTGCTGACTAACCTGTGGACTGGATTTTAAACTCAAAATAGCTCTTGTTCTGATGCAAAGGCGCATTGGCTAAGCAGCCTCCTGTGCCACATATTCTTCTGCCATTTTTAACAATGACAACATCTGTTCCTGCAAGAAGAAAAAAAAAAACCCACAAAACTTCAAAACATTAAGTCTAGAAGCAGCCCTTAAAAGCCCTAAACATTGAGAATAGTTTTTGTTCTTTCTGCCCCAAGTAAGAGCTTCACAAACTAACTGTGAGAATTAGGATGATAGCCCATGCTTCGAAGAAAAGAAAGGCTGTTTACAGGCTAGTTCATCCTTCAACTAGGGTTTATTTATTTAAAAACTACATGCTGCTCTAATTTCTCCTCTTGGGTTTTATGGCACCATGCTGATTACAACCTTTGCTCAGCCACATCAGATGTGGCTTACAAACTTACAATTTAGTCAGAAAGGATTCACTGTGAGACCAAAGCCCTGCACACTGCCTCTGTACACTGGAGAAAAAAAATTCTGAAAAGATAAGGAAAGGCACATTGGGTAGAAAAGTTTGACGGAATTGCAAGGTGTTTCACTATTAATTATGTGATGAATGGATCGAGAGCAGCCCTGTGGAAAACACCTTGCAGCTTGCTGGTGGATGAAAAACCCAGTATGAGCCGGCTATGTGCGCTCACAGCCCAGAAAGCAAATCATGTCCTGGACTGCATCAAAAGCAGCGTGGCCAG